TTTTTTTCCAATTTTTACAAAAATCAACAAGGATCTTCGTTTTATAGATATGACTGTGCAAAACAATAAATGGAAATCAGATGAGACAATCTTAACTTTTCAAACGACAAAAAACTTATGAAAGACGGACAGACGGACTTATATTGTGATAAGAAATTATCAAATAATCAGATCCAATGGCATTGAACCATCATAGCCCTACTCACAAAAAAACATGAAGCTGAAAAAGTCATGCAAATCTAATCTTTTGTTATATCAATTACAAATATAAATTATCATTTGTTTAAAGGAAAATTTGATCATTTTCGTGGATTTTTTGCAATAACGAATTAGCGGCAACAGAACTTTCACGACCCTTTTCACGATTATCAAAATGTAGTACCCAATCTTTCACGATCCGAAATATAAAATTTCTATAAATATAACAAGATTATAAGAACTATTTTAAACAGCAATATTGAACGATACTTTTAAGAGAAAAGTAGTTTATACATTAAAAATTTGAAAAAAATCATGTATGTTTACATTTTAATTTCTCTAAAATTCGATGAGCAATCCGCCTTTTGTAGTTTTGTGAAACGGTGTTCTTTTAAACCTTGATTTCTCTCGGATACTGATCATAATGTTGAACTATTTTGACAGACAGTTTTATTTTTCCAGTATTTGTCATTATAATTGATTAAATTAAATTACTTATTGACATTGTATGTGTCTTCTGGATAAGATTTCGTTCGCGATCCTATACCAGATAGTTCACGATCCAATCGCAATACTTGACCACCATTACTTATTCTTTAGCGATCATTTTTCTCGATATACCGAATGATAGCAGTAGTACGGTAAACGTAGCTACGCGCCTGGAAGTACTGGAAATCAATTAATCACTCAATATTTCCAAACTGTTGTAATTTCGTCCGTATTTAATTGTGCAAAGAGAGATAACTAAGATAGTTTTGCCAAATTATTCCCTTTCAAATCCAAAGATTCTTGAGAGCATTCAAGTGAAATCAAGGCAAATTAATTGATATAACCAAGATCATTTTATTTCAATAAAATCCAGGATATTAATTTTTTATTTAGATTTAGTTTAAACATATTTTATTTGCTAAATATCAACAAAATGGATGAGACACAAGTAAATCATACTTATGAAGTCTTCTCTATAATAAGAATAAGAATAAGAATAAGAATAAGAATATTTATTATTCCAATCAAGGGCCCTTGGTGGGCAACATAACATGTACACATAAAACAATACATCATGATTTGTAACAGAAAAACATTTTTATATATTAAAATGAAATATTGAAAAGTTCAGACAGATGTTATTATCTTCATTCTATAAAAAATCACATACATTTAATTCCAGGCAGAATCAGAACTATAAAATCATTACAATTATCATTGTTATTACATACATTAATTAACATTTCGTCTAACATCTAGACATGTAATAATATAGCTCCCTAAATATTTAAGTATAGACAAATTTTCATTAGTAAATAACCAAACAAATTTTGCCTCATTTGAAAGATATATAAAATTGGGACAGATACAGTTTATCTCCTTGAAAAATATCTCCCTGTCATTATTGTATGCTGGACAACTAGTAATAAAATGTTGTTCATCTTCAATCTATATTACAATACAAGTATATATACATTATTAACATTATGAGCATGCATGTAAAGCGAACGAATTCATTAAATATCATACGAACTATAAATAAAAAGAAGAAAAGAACAAGAAGAATGGAAAAGGAGGAAAAGAAAAAGAAGCAAATCATATTTTCTGTGATGATGACTTAGGTTTGATGGTGATGATCATCCGTGCCGGTAGCAATAACTCTTTATGAAGGTACTAGAAATCTGTTAGACATTTTAATAAAATCTTGAACATGTTTGAAAATTAGGAGATTTTGTTCATTCGAAAGTTCAAGGTCTCCACAAGTTAATAGTTTAGTATCAATAATAAAGTTTTCAGTAAGCCAATTAAGATTAAGTAAAATTTCTCTACATGTAGTGTATTTTGGGCAAACGAAAAGAAAGTGATGAAAATCCTCAATATCAGACCCACACTGACACGAAGGATCCAGTATAATGTTAGCTTTGAAAAGGTCAGAGTTTAAAAATGAAGCGGAACATCGCAATTGGGTTAAAATAATATTCAGTTTCCTGGGACCGTACATATAATACGGCGCAACTCTAGTTGTATACTAAATAAGAAATCGTCCTCCTTGATTTAATGCATGTGAACATAATTCTGTGTTAACATTTTATCTTTACTTGGTTCCTCTCATGAGTACCTCTTTTACCGTAATATTATGATGCAGAGAGTCTTTCGTGGACCCGTATTTATTTAGACAATGCCACGCTCCATCGTACGTAAAAAAAGAACCTTTTGTCGATTTCGAAAAAAATCCGCTACATAAGGTTAATTTTCTCCTCTCTACCAATCGCTCCTCGTTTTCCGTAATATTAAAAGTTTATAAGCCCCTTATTAACTTTTAAAAACCCAAACTGCTTCTAACAAACAAATTGACTTCTACATCGACCTAAAATAGCACTGAAAATATTGTTTATGTAGTCCATCGCACTTCAGTGATAACACCATCGCGCTTCGGCCATTGTCGGCATAGCTATCAACAAGATAGCGTCACAATTACACCATCGCACTTCAGCGTGATCTAAAACGCACTTCAGCGTCAAACCATCGCACTTCAGAGTGACCATCGCGGTTCGGAGTACCATCGCGGTTCGGAGTACCATCGCGGTTAAGAGTCCTACATATATATAAAACATTGAATACTGAAACTGTAAAATAAACGTATATGTATAATTTAGCATCATGCATGACTCAACATATATTTCATGAAAGTATGAGATACAAATGCAATTGTTATGTTTAATTATTCTACATGTATGAAATTGTTACAAACATGGGTATCGAATATCAGAACAAATGATATGAATTAACATTTATTTCAATCTTAAAAAATGAATTTTGATTAGATGATAACAATTGTATGTTTTCACAAATTTGATAAATCTCGTCATTTGTTACTTCACCCCCTACAATTTGGCATGCGTGGTAATAATTAGGGTATTCATGGAAAATCTTTGAATGTACAAGATCGACCATAAATATAAATGATATTATATTTTTTTTTAACTTTTTGGGCAAATACCACGTACAATCACGATGTATCTTTATAAAATACCACTAACAATATATTTCTATAATTTTTCAAAGCCATATCAATGCATAATCTTTACATTCGCTATTTTGCATACGAAAAATTTCTCTGCTTTTAATGCTATATATAAAAATAAGAAGATGTGGTATGATTGCCAATGAGACAACTCTCAACAATAGACCAAATGACACAGAAATTAACAACTATAGGTCACCGTACTGCCTTCAACAATGAGCAAAACCCATACCGCATAGTCAGCTATAAAAGGCCCCGAAATGACAAATGTAAAACAATTCAAACGAGAAAACTAACGGCCTAATTGATGTACAAAATAATGAACAAAAAAACAAATATGATACAAACGACAACCACTGAATTACAGGCTCCAATATTGTTTATTTATCATTATAAGCAACCAGATAGTGCATGCAGGTGTATTTCTGTTAAACTACATTGTTTATTCAAGTTTAACTGAATGGTCAATTACAATGCTCGGTATATAAATCCGGAATACTGAAGAAGCAGGGAAGACGTCTATTTTGGCTAGCTGTTTTAGTGTTGTTTACCGTCCATCTCCTTTTATAGAAAGGACATGACATAATTTTTGGGAGCAGACATAAGTCAAAAAGACATTAGATACATAAACATGAGGAAATGTTTATGAGGCCCGAAGTAATCTTTAAGAGGTGGTAAGAACAATCAAACTGAGTATGCATATGATACAGGCACTAACATCGAATGTTGACCACTAGATCTTATTCTGCTTACACATGTTACATTTAAATTGTGTTGGTTGAATTTCCTTTACCTCACAAGATAACAGAAAAGTTGACATTTTGTCTGCTTTATCGTTATTGTTTGTGTATAAACTGCTGCAGAAACACGCATCTGTCCAGGGAAATAGCAAGAGGTATCATAACTTTTTGTAGTAGTACATCTAAATAATATTAAAAGTTTTAAAGGATCGACTACAGATTATAATGACCATATCAGTAAAAATAAGCATCTTAATGCTGAAGACTGATATCACAACACATTAATATATATATAGATACACTGGTAATAAGGCAAAGCATTACTCATCTTTTCCATGAACGATTAATAAAAAGCCAGCAATATAAAGTTACAAACAATACGGAATACTTTTTTAAACCAAAGCACGGGGCTCGACCTAATTACATTTATTTTCAAAAAGCCCTGCAGGGGTAGGTGATTCAGGGTGGGAAAAACAGTAATGTTATAACAGTTTGGGAATTTATAATATGAACAAAAATAACATATATCTAGCATTGGTTTTGTAATATCTGTATTGTCATAGGAGATATGAATCATATAAAATAACAAATGTTTAGTAAGGCCGACGAGATTTTCAAAACGGATTTCATATTTTCCGTTGTACCAGTTACTAAATGAAATGAAACCATGAAGACCGTACTTTGACCTATAATGGTTTACTTTTATAAATTGTGACTTGGATGGAGAGTTGTCTCATTGGCACTCATATCACATCTACTTATACCAATAAACATTATGTTGTACGAGGGTTTTTTTACCATGTATCACCATTATAATGAACCTTACTAGGATTTTAGAAATAGCTGTACTTAAAAGTCAAGATATAAATATAACTAAACATCAAATACACAATTAAAGTTGTGTTGTTATTTATAAATACAATATTATATTAGAGAGACAAAAGTATACCCCAATAAAGGTCTCCAATAGTTAGCAGTCTGTAAGTATCTACTCATTCAAATGTAAATAACAAGTACTTGTATAGCAGGATAAATCAAGCCTTCGGATATTATGAAATGTCTTTTAGAGTCATAGACTCCAATCGAACAGCATCGGAATTTTCTTCATTATCAATTTCTATGGGGATTGTCTCTAGAGCCCATGGCTGTAACTCACCACTAGCAAAAATCACATAGAATATTGCGCCAAAAATGTAAATACCAGCAGACATGTAGAATACAATCTGCCATTCAGCCCTTGTTTGTGCCTGTAAACATAGAAAAATATCAATATTCTTACCGAAGACTTCCTGTGTTATGTTAATACTACACATCACCTCAATCCTCAATAAACTGGAGATCTATATGAGTAAATCAGTTTAGTTAGTTTGGGAAATTATTCTACATTATGGTGTTAATGGAATTTTACAAATTTACTTTTTTAAACTGTTTTAAGAGAAAGCGAATAAGAAATAACGTTCATGCAAAAATGTATCAATGATTTTATTTTTTTCATGTCTAGAATTAATTCATCAGGTTAATCTTTTAACCCTTGACTTACATTAGTAAATGTTAAAGAATAATGCCATTTTTATTAAAAAAAAATCTTTCACAACATTTAACATTGATATACTCTTCTAAAAAATTTAAACCCTTCTCCCCTTCCGCAACGAATAAATGTTTGTCCATGGAAAACGACAAAATCATTTTGATAAGAAGTAAATGGTGCACATTACCATAAAGCACTAGGTATTTGAATGTGTTAAAAAAAAAATACAAAACCTTCATAAGTTGTTTTTTATTGTGCAAATCCACGTTTGAACGCCCCACGTCCTTTCACCAACTAATATAAAAATAAGGAGATGAGGTATGATTGCCAATGAGACAACTATCCACCAAAGTTCGAATAAAGTGGATGAAAGCAATTATAGGCAACCGTTATACCATTTCCGAACATCTATTATATGTGTTGTGTATATATACGCTATGATTATTCTGAACTGTAAATACTGATCCTTTTATGTATTGTATCAAAATGTGGGTCGTATACCAGTTTCGATAGTCCTGAATATCAGTCCTCGTATATTTGTTATTATATACATAAGTAGAAATAAATTAGTCCAGAGTGACCTTTGTATCCGTCGTTATATTTAATAACTAACCTCTCTCGTTATCTCGCCGACTATAATAGGAGAAACAAAGCCTCCAATGGCAGATAACGCATTTGATATCCCAAACAATATTCCTGCATACGCCGGTGCTATATCAACATGGTTGACAATAAACCCGCTGTACTGAAACCCAGACAGACCGACACTGAGGACTAGCAACACAACAGCCAATGCTGTGGCATAGCATTCTACATATCCTAGAGCAATCATCAACACAGCAGGTACTATCTTTCCTGGATTTGAAAACAATGGATCAAAACAAACAAAAATATATAACTTTATTTTGTATGATTGTGCTATTTGATTGTTGTCTCGTGACGGTTATTTCATATTTCCCTTTTTTATCTGTAGTAACTGGCGAAGAAAGTTTCTTTTTGTTAACTACAATGGAACCTGTCTAAACCGAATCTTGTATAAACCGAAAAACTTGCTAATCCAACATGTTCTGAAGCCCAGTCATATCAAATTGTATGCGTTGTGACCTGATGACACCGAACATCATCCAAAATCGAACAAAATCGTAAGTCCCGAAGAGGTTTGGTTTAGACAGGTTTCACTATATATATTCAACATGACCACAACATACGACATAAATATATAATAAGTGAGTCTGTAATATTTTTAAATCCCTTTTCAACTCCATACTTATATATGATATCCATAGTCCCAACATAAAAACATGAAAAACGTTTTTTAATAATACAAAAAAGAAAATGTCATGAAAAATATTTCAAAACTTAACTTTGAAATTTGAATACATTTGTAGTTGTCATCGTTGTGCCTTTTTTTAAAACAATATATTTACCAAAAGCATCAAAAACTTTTCTGGTCAGCGTTGTTGACATCAGTTGTCTCACTCTGAAGAAGTCAGCAACCCATCCTGCTACATTAATCATTGCCCAAAAGGCAATATAAGGTAACGCTGATAATATACCATTCTAAAAAGTATACATAAGCATGCCTCAAAATTTTTGTCAGCCATACAATATATTCAAACTATTCCAAAAACTTATGTCTGGATACACTTATAATATCAGGGAGAACAGGATCTCGTATCATACAAGTAAATGCAGTGGTCAGTGGTATTGGACTTTGAATTATTAACAATAACGCCAGTCTGTAACTATGCCAGCATGTAAGATCAAGAAGTCACGCACCAACAAAAGGATGTTAAAAGAATAAATACAATTGCAAAATATTCTAGGAAACAGATAATGTACTATAGTTACAGATGAACTAAATGAGTGTGTATACTTAGTGCTTAAAATATAAGTTTTGCGCCTGTCCCAAGTCAGGAGCCTCTGGCCTTTGTTAGTCTTGTATCATTTTTAATTTTAGTTTCTTGTGTGTAATTTGGAGTTTAGTATGACGTCCATTATCACTGAACTAGTATACATATTTGTTAAGGGGCCAGCTGAAGGACGCCTCCGGGTGCGGGAGTTTTTCGCTGCATTGAAGACCCATTGGTGGCCTTCGGCTGTTGTCTGCCCTATGGTCGGGTTGTTGTCTCTTTGACACATTCCCCATTTCCATTCTCAATTTTATTCCTTGATTGTTAATTAAACCACGAATTCTTTATTAGCAATTGTTAACATAAAACCAACTTGGATAATTTGTGTTTCTAGTCTTTTTCTTATTTGTCACATGATTTAATTGAGTATTAATGATAATTGTAACTCTTACAAAAGTTTTATACATATATTACATGGTAAATCCAGCAAAGAAATATACTGAACCGCTTTGATTTTAGTTTTAACATACTTGGATACTACAAATGTATGGTCAAGAATGATAATAAATAAAAGATAATGTAGGTACTTTTAGTATACAGCAATGAAAGTTTACCGACACCTTGCTTGAATTGAATTATGAGATATCATTATTTGATCCGTATGTTCCCGACCTGTTTCTATTATGGTCACTTGATCTTTCATCCGGTAACTTATGATCACATACTACAATCATGACAAGAGATTCCTTGCATAGTAAGTAGACAGTCTAAATTATGTAACTACGATATCATTAGATAGACAAGGATATGGCCCGAGAACACAGTTATTTCGTAGTGCATTTCTTTTAGAGAATAAATTCAAATTAAAAAAATCGCACCTGCTCTATCTCAAAAAGATTTTTACAGTGTAGTGTACTACTATTGATACAAATAATATCAAAATTATAGAAACTTCTACCAGCTCTAACTCAAAATATTGACAATTCTGTGTTAAGGGGGGCTACAATTCAGTTTGACAGCTTCAGACATTCTAATTTTTGACCTTTTTTAACTGGACCAAATCACTACTTAACATAAAGATTCAGCACCCAAATTTTTTAAACATGTAATTTCATCCCCTTACTTAATATTTCATGCATAAAATATCAAGAAATAAATTGGGAAAGTGTATAAAAAAAAAATGCAAGTTATACACTGTTCACACTAGGGACTATATTCGTAGACAACGAAAACCAAAGGACGATAACTGTGTCCTTGAACCATATATAAGTTCATTCCATATTAGGTCAGCAGCTGTAAATTGTTTTTGCATTACTGTGAAAAAGGTGTGCAACTGTAACATGAACGGATCAACTCTCCATATGTCATTCCACATCGTAATCATAAGAGGACATTTTTATGATAGCCCATACGCTCACCAATCAGTATCAACGATTCCCAACTCTTACTAATACGATAAACAGAAACAAAACATTCCACAGCATTACTGATATCCTCGCCGATCTCATGATAAACTGTTTTTGGTGATTCAAAATAGTAAAACCTAGAGACTGTGTCATTATCCCTACTGAAGAACCACATCCCTAACCTGCAATTTACAGTAAGCAGTGAATCGATTCCCATTAATTTCGCGCAGATTACGCAATGCTCAAAGGAATTCTAAAATGACAATTAAAAACCCTTTTTCGGAGTGGAGATGTATCTGAAGGTTTAATCCTTTACAAGAGAGGCGAAAGATACCAAAGGGTTATTCAAATTCACAAGTGGAAAACAAACTGACAATGCAATGTCAAAAAACGGAAAACGACGAAAAGACAAACAACAGTACACAAAACACAACATAGAAAACTAAAGACTAAGCAACATAAACCCCACCAAAACTGGGGATGATCTGAGATGTTCCGGAAGGGTAAAAAGTAAAATAACAAAAATACCGAACTCCAAGGAAAATTCAAAACGGAAAGTCCTTTGAAAAATGACAAAATCAAAAGCTTGAACACATCAAACAAATGGAAAACAACTGTCATATCCTGCTCAACAAAATTGAGATAGTAGTTTATAGCAAGTAAACACAATTGGAAACTGGAATTATGTCTGTCGGTGAATCCACTGTTTAAAGATGAAATATTTGTATATAACCTGAATGAAATTGCAATTTTTTATACATTACCGAAGTAAGATTGAGCTTAAAAACATCATTCATATACGTTGGTATATAAGATAAGAGTGTATATCCTCCCCAGTCTGAAGTAATGTTGGATACGATGATAGCGTTATTCGGCATGGACTTAATTATGGCCATCCAAGGTACCTTCAGATCCTGAAATATTCAAAGCTCCATATTAATATTTCATTTTTACAATATAGAAATTAAGCAATCATCACTTAGCATATAAATAAATGATATAGTATATTGATATTGCAGCAAATGATGAAACCTGATCGACATCATTTTAACTTTGTTGGACTATTTTCTGAGATCTTTTCTTAGATAATGATTGCATGTAGTTGCAAATAGATAATAATACTTACATATAAAACATATGTTTGAGCGCCACTGAAGCCAGATCCTGGTTGGAATATGTATTTACATCGAATGACTAATGTAAGAAGACTGTCATGTTATCTGAGCGTTAGATAAACCTTGCACCAACACTTGGGGGGGGGGGGGGGGGGGGTGGGGTGGTGGTGGGGGGGGGGGGGGGGGGGGTAAATGGCCTGTTGGAAAGCAGAATGTCTACTATCTGATATACCTTCTTTTTCCAGTGGTGTGCTAAATTTCCCGCCTTCTTCCCCGGTTAGCCAACTTGATTGAGTTCACTTACAAGATTTGTTTTAAATTGTTCTCTAAATTTTGCAACTGGACATTAAGAAAATAAAAATCAATCAATTTTCCAATCAATAAATCAATTGTATTAGAAATACGAAAACCAGATGTTAGTTATAATAACAGTAACACATCATTGGATTCAGACCAGAAAAGACATTTGGAGGTCAAGATATGACCTAGAACTAAATAACCTTGGGTCTTAATAAATTGTGAAATAAAATTTTAGAGACTTAAATAAATAAATAAATAAATAATCTTTATTTCAAGAGGATAATCCCATTAGGTAAAACTAATCTTCTTGAGAGTCCTCAAAATGATAATAACATATTTATAAAGTACATACAATATTATAATGATATATATGTTAGCGGCAATAAGTGAAATTAGGCATTAAGCTTAAATCCTAGACAATACGCTGATGCCTAGAGAGTAGGTCAATTGCCTAAATGATGTTTAAGCTTAAATCCTGAAAAATGTGTCCAGGTATTAATCTTAATGCCTAAACTGTACATGCAAGTAAATAAAAAGACATTTATTTAAAGTTAAAATACATCTGGTACATAATATCATGATAAGAACTGAAGTTTAAAATGTCATCTACCTGAAGTCACAAGTTCTGGCCACTTTAGTTTTAACTCGGATATTTATCAAAGCTGTAAATTCACGACCATTGTCACTTTGAAGTTTATGGAGCGTACCAAAAATTGATGAAAACGTCACCTCTGACGCTCATTTTGACGATAGAAATTTAATGTTATAAACTTTTGTTTAATAGGAGATTTTGGTACACCCTAAGAAGTTCAGAGTTTCAATCTGAGTTTGACTGGAAATCCATTAAATCAACCTGTCCTCTACTATTGAACTCTAGATAAAATGGGTTTCACTAAGTACTATTTTCCCTAATTACGTTTTCTGCATGTTACAATTTTCCCAAAGTGAAAGAAATAGTTTGATGGAATCATGAGGAATATTTGCTTAGTCATTATTAAGTTGTTAAAATCATACGGCCTCTTTCGCCATGACCTATGTATGTGCCTTTTCCAATGTACCATGATACAGTTCCTCTATAAAGAACATAATTTTTTTTTAATTTTCCTCATAATTCTCCTTTACTTTGATTATCAAAAACTGTCAAAGCCTCCAAAAGCAAAAATGTTATAACTTTTATAATTGTAGTAGTCTATAGTTGCCGTCTTTTCTGGGATTATAAAAGTTAAAAGTTTAATTTTTGCCAGAAGATCATTTTACTGTCTTGCGTATATGCACCTTGTTTTCCCTTATTTAAATTAAGACCGCAAAGATTAAAAAAATGTTTCTGCAGTAGCATGGCACTTAAATGATAATAATCCAGATTAAGAAGTGACAAAGATCAGATGGCCTGGGGGTATTTAACAAAATGTTTAACAGTATTTTTTTGTTTACATATCCAATAAAATCGATGGAATTTAAAGATGATGTGAGCAAAAACTCATGTCTTTTTTTGACCAGACAAAAACCAGCTGAACCAGTAAAGTGTGAATTTTCTTCAAATAATTTTCAGATAAAATCTTCAAAACCCTCTCCTTTCATTAGATACAATCACTTGTTTGAAACCTATTATTTTTTGTAATACCACAAAGACATGCAAGTTACTTATGGAAACATACTAAAATTTGAAGATCTGTTAATTTAATGTTAATTTAATATTTGAAATATTTCATCGAATATACATGTACTTGGAAGATAAAATAAAAATCCCAAAAGTTCGCTTATTGCCTGAAATGATGCTTGGCAATAGGTTGAATAATCATCATCAGATTTCAGGAAAAAAGCTTAATGCCTAAAAATTTCAGGCAATAACTTAATGCCTAGGCGTTAGCTTATTGCCTAATTTCACTTATTGCCGCTAACATATACACAAAATACAATTTTATGTAGATATTATTGAAAAAGAATATTAATTTGCATAATTTATGAAAAAATTTGTAACATTTTGTTTTAAAGGATACAAGTGTATTACTCAAGTTCATTTCATTTGATACTATACTGTTCCATATTTGAGAACCAGAATATATAAATATATCGATCTTATGCTCATTCTTTACGAATTTTACCTCTTTTATGTTCTGAGCTAAGTGTGTTCTTTTTAAAAAGTTAAAAATTCGTATAAAAAGAAACATAAGATTGATAAAAAACTTTCTTTAAATTGTTTAATAATATTCAAATGATAAAAACCAATCCATAGATTTATCAAAAACAACAATGTTGTTGCTCCATGAATTTCCGTTTAATGGTACAAAATAATTCTAAACCTAGAGCCACCGATTTCGTTTTTTATGTATTATCCAATCGATTACTGTGTCTTAGTTAAAAAAACACATTTCAATAGCGTTTAAACGAGTTCTTTCCACGCTTCTTCTCTACGCTTATTTCGACGTTTTGGAGTATTTCTTTCACCCAGAACACCACTTTGACAGATGACTGTCATTAACCGTAGTTGCTGACTCCACAATTATTTTATATCAATAAAATAAAATTTTATCTGGTAACAACATATCGATTTAACAAAAGTTTCTACGGACTTGGTTTTGAGAAAGTATGTTTTATGATTATTTTGACAAAGTCTTTTTTATAGATTTTACGTACAATCTATACTCATTTTAAACTGTTGAAAGGATTTGCAATGAATAACATATTAGCTAGTATAACTGTTCATCGAATATATTGTTTTTAAATTTTAGTTAGAGATCAAGCTGTACGCATATTTGTATCCAAATTGACGTTAGATTGGGAATGTGTTTGTGAGATGTATTCAAAGATAAACGATAAAATGTATGTCTCGAAATACATCATGCAAACCATGGTGCTATCATCAGTCACGCAATGTCATTTTGTGATCATTGAGGTTATCATTCATGTACACTTATTCTAATTACCCTCCTATTTTTCTTGTGAGCACTATCAATTAATGAGGTTATTATGTACTCTTTTTCTTTACGTGAGATCCGTTTATGTTCTGCAGGTGAATCACTAACAAAGAACATCCACAAAACAAACCATAAAAAACTTGCCATACCTGAAAGTGTAAATGAGAGAGAAAAAAATACCAAGGGGGCATTCAAAAATCATAAAAGAAATAGCTAAAAATAAAAACGAAGGACAAACAACAGTAACAAAACAACAAACAGACCACTAGAGACTTGGCAACACGAACCCCATTAAAAACCTGGTACACTACAACTTCATGACGCTTGATAACTAGATGCATGCGTATGGTTACAATTCAACAGTTTTGTTTATTTTTGAATTGGTTTCGAATACTTGGTTATAATTTCATAATATATATATTTTTTTGTAAACATAGGATACAAAACCTCAGCTTAAAGATTTATTCACCTAGTTTTCTATTTGATAACTTTGATTTACAGGACTTGTGGTCCTATGAACCTGATGAAGTGAATTAAAGCAATGCATTTTTCTTAAACTATTGTATTTAAAAGCAATATTTAAATATATAAATGTAACCAAACACAGAAAGTCGCTTCAGTACATTTCGTTTAAAATATTCAAAATTAATTTTATGCAGATGTTTTTGAATTCCAACAAAGCATAGAAAAATCACCATGAAGTATTATTAGTTTCCTGTTATATTTTTAATGGTAAAGATACAATTCGAAAGGGTTCAATCACTTGATCATCGCTAAATGCAAAAATACATTAAGCAAGCTTTTCATCTAAATGAGAAGTATATTTATGCAGTAGTATAATGTCAGAAATAAACAGAAAAAGGTATTTTACCACAAACATAAAAAATAGATGGCCAGCCACCTCCAAATCCGTATTGGCAAAGGTAAGCTCCCAGTGGAAAAGTTATCACTATACCAGCTTGAGTTCCTGTAATGCAATACATGAGTTAAACTTTTAAAGGTCTTGTTTAATATTTTAAACATTTCAGAAATCTCAAATGTGACATAAAAATAATTCTGTTAGCTCATATTAGTGCATCATTCCGCAATCATTAAGAAAACTAGTCATTGTTCGTATAGGTTTACTATAATCTATGACAAAAGTGATGATTTCAACTTTTAAATTGTCGACTTCCTATTTCTCACCAGTAACATATCAGCTGCTCCGCCTCATCGTATGACGTGCACATGTCTCAATAAAAATTTCAGTCCTTGTGTCTATGATGAGATTATCAAATACGTTACTCTCGTGTGTGTTCACAATATTCAGACGTCATTTAAAGTGATGTGCTCCTTATAGATTAACTGCTCTAACACAGTTATGAGGAAAGAACAACAGAAATTGACACTACATATGGTTTACGGTTGACTGATCCAATGTGTCGGTGTCTCACTTCCATAGCGAGATGTTTTTTGCGGTCTTAGATCTTTAAATACCAGTATAGTCGTCTATTCTGTAATTTTACAGAAAATGTCCTTTTCCCGATTGTGACATTTTGACTGAATGTGTAATTACATGGTAGGTGATGCATGCATAGCAGGAGACACTTACCCTGTGGACGTACCCTGTTTTGCTCCTTTGGGGATACCCTCGATTTTTGTTTATTTCCTTAATTTGTCTCTTTCAAATCGATTAACGAGATATGAACATCGGAAAACCACTGTCGCTTTAATTTGTACCTTGAGTTGATTAATCGTTTAATACATTTTGTGTAGCTGGCAGGTCGTTCATGTTTTTCTAATTTATTCTGGACTTGGTCGTTGGATAGACATTACATTTTTAAAATGGCACTGGCCTAGAATAATTCAATGTAAAATTATTTTTAGCAAACATATTTGAAATGACAAAATAGTCAGATCAGTTACGGATATTTTTATTTTTTCCACATTGATTGCATGTTACCTGAATATGTAAGGGCTGTAAGCTTGCTCCTCTCTAATGGTGGTGACCAATGTCCAAACAGAGCATGCATTGCAGGAAACACTGTACCCTGTTACAAGTAGACAATACTGAAATATGTTACGCATTGTTCATATAGGTATACGTGTATATAACTTCATAAATTATTGTATTTATGATTTTATTGTTTGTTATCTTATGGTTGTGGCCTGTTATCTATTTCTTGCATGAAGAGAGATTTCTCGTATCACATTGCACGGAGTGTGGTACGAAAAAGTGATACGAAAACTGCTCTAATTTAATTGGCTTATCCAGCATCATGAGACGATATTACGACAATTTCATTGGCTATTCGTTAGGTCATTGAAGACTTTCAAAGGTTAAGACAATGTTCATTTCATCCATGGCAACGGACACATGTGATTTCTTCAAAAGTATACAAAACACTTACATTTTAAAGCTGACAATATATTTTTCGCCAAATTTGATTACATTCTGAAGCGTACAAAAAAGTTTTTAAATGTCTTATCTTTAAGTTTGAAGCTGGAACAGGACATATGACGTCATATTGGTATGTGCAAAATACAAGATTAACGATTCGCGGATTTTTTTAGATTTAACGAATTGAGAGTGCTGACCATAAGAGAAACAGGTTTAACAACCCGTGAGAATTAGATATCGCTTGATATTAACTTTCGTTGTTTAATTTAAATAGTGATAATAAACTCGCCGAAGGCTCGTTTACTATATTGAAATTAAATAACTCAAGTTGATATCAAGCGATATCCAATACTCACTCGTTATGAAACCTATAAGTATCGTATGATTCATATTATGCTTTTCCAACTATTATCCGTATTACTGTTAAGAAAGTGCAATAAAAAATCACCAAACAACTAAATAAAGTGAATACAAACTTTTTTTATTGAAGTTCAACACCGTGACAATTTGACAATGGAAATACGCTCGTCCTAGGTAATTATTTAAGTAAGTCAAACAGTGGCTGTTATATTTAATGTTCAAGAAAAATGATATGTCAGTTTGAAAAGAGGTACAGGTGTTGGTAAAAAAGTCAAATATTCTCAAAACTTGAGTTTAATCCTTCAATCAGGTCTAATAAAGAAAAAAGCATATAGAAATGTTTATGATTTATTTAACTAATTGTTGTTAATTTGAACTATTTATATAGATATAAAGTTGATCTTGCTCATATGGATGGAGGTTTTGGAAAAAGTTTGATAGTCAGGAGGGTGGATGGGAATGGTGTTTACCGTTTACCGTTTACCGGTCACTATTACTAGCATCAAATGAGCCTCAAACATTTATTGTCATTCTACAAATCGCATTTGTCAGTTTTCGTATACGTTAGATGGACTAAAATATTTTTCGTTATCGCATTTAAGCAGATTTCATTGTCAATCGTTATTTAGGTTACTCGTTTCCATCCTTACTGAGGATTATATATGGTCAATTAGCACGAGTGGAAATTTTTCTCTGCATATGCCTGGCTGACCTAAAAGTGTTTGTCCTGTTGTGGGTATTATTTGTTTTTGATACTTTTAAACAGAACATATTGATTTATTTCGCAATTTAACAAAAATACTAATGTTATTCTATTACGTTAGATTTCCTAACATTCTTCTATACAGTACCCTTAAATTGAATTGACTAACAAGCGACAAGGTTAAAACATGTAAAAGTTCAAAACTTTTGCAAATTGAGAAAAAGGAAAACAAACGCGAAGGTGAAAGAGATATGTAGCCAAAGGAAATTAAGAAAGGTGACTAATGGAAGTTATAAATATTGTATAACTATCGCAAAACCTGATTACGATCAATAAAGTCTAGTATTCGACTACATGTAGAAAATTGCATAGTCAGGGACTTTAGTTTTCTATGTTGTGCTTTGTATAATGCTGTTTGTCTTTTGCCACTGTGCATAGACTTTAACAGTGATGTACATAGACTAGTGTGTTACCAAAGTTATAACATTTTTGCTTTAAATAGACATTCTTAATGTTTATAATATGATGAAGGAACATATCTCTGCACGTAAAATAGTAAATATATATTTTTTGAATTAAAACAAAGTGTAGACTTACATTACACATCCCCACAATAACACGTAGTGCTATCAGTAGTCTATAATCGGTTTTTGCTCCAAAAGGTGTCAGCATAGTACAGATGGTTGCAATAAAAATGCTCCATCCAAACACTCTTTTCCCACCAAATCTCGTAGCAAGCCATCCTGCTGGAATTTGTGATACAAGATATCCCCAGAAGAAACCTCCAAGTATAAACCCTTGCACTGTTGTATCCCAGTTAAAAGTTCCACCCTGTAATACAAAATGAAAAGATTAAACAAGAAGAGGTGTTATGATTGCCAATTAGACAACAATCCACCAGAGACCAAGTGGCGTAGATATAGGCAGCCATATATCACCGTAAAGCCTTCAACAATTGGCAAAACCTATAGGTATAGTATGCTATAAAAGGTCCAGACATGACAAAAAGTAAAACAAACAAATGAGAAAACTATAGTAGTAAAAGATGGCCGTCAGAAATATGGTGATAGGTATACTTATCCAGCGGTGTCAATCAGATGTGCTTTCTAAACAGTTCCAAAGACCTTCTTCAAAATCTTCAATCACAATCATTACAATTTTGCACTATTATCAAAACTGTTGATGTTTCTACGCTATACACTACCACTCCTCAATTGAAACATCAAATACATCGTCCCATTCAACAGCTTTTTCTTTCCTGTTCTATCAAAAGCACATTCGATTATTGTACCAAGTTTTTACTAGGGTATGTGAAAGAGTAGTGTTTAAGGTAGACAAATCACAAATGTCAACAGAATTAACGTAATTATGCAAGGCTTCATAAAAAATATTTATCATAAATGATTATTAGACAAAATCGATCCCTGTGTTTTGAAAGATTTATTGCAATGTTTAGAAATGAGATTTTTAATGGTAGTAAGTGCAATGACCAGAAAAAAACATATAATTAAGTTGTAATAATACTTGCTAGAAGCTGATGTAAAGCTGGGTTTATTAGGAGTTTGTTTAATTAAGGTCTCCATTACAAAAGTAAAGTCTTATTTCTTAAATCGAGTTGAAGGAAGGTACACACAAACTTTATAAAAACTATTTTACTATTTTCTTACACGATGAATATCAGGTACATATGAGGAATTCCCCTCTGTAGAAAATTGCACACAGTCATTATAATCATCTTTCATCACGAACGATGAATTGAATTCTGTAACTGATGCATCTGTTCTGTTGACTATGCAAACAATAGCAACACTCATGTTAACCAGTAATGCATAGGAATTGACGAATCCAAAAAATCCTAGAACCGCCAGTATTAACCTGCTAGAGCCCCAAAGAGGTGCTGTAAAATGTATTTTAAACATTTGTTTTAAAACAATACTTCATTTGTGTAATATACTTAAATAGTTAAAAGTTTTCATTTCTTTATTGTTTTAATGCTTTTTTCATACATTCTCTGGGGTCCAAACCATCCTTTGATTTAGTTTGTTTTGAATATACGTAATCTGTAACATGTGTTACCACATCTGAGCATCTAATATATTCTAAAGACTATTTTTTGTCATACATCTTCGCCTCTATCCTTATTCTTGATCTATTATGATATTGCAAGCTTATTATTGTCAATTGTGTTCGCTTTGAATTTTCATAGGTTTGATGGTAATACCAATGCATAGGTTTAAAACAAATATTTAGTTTTGATTTTCAAGATTGAAGACATACTTTTAAGATGTTCATAGGATGCTTCTTCTTTATCCGCGATGTCAAAAGTTTGTGTTTCATCTGAAATTAATAATATGATAAGTATATGCAAACGTGAGTTGTAGCGCTTTGCATTTATATGTTAGTATAACGAATCGTATTTCAAACCATGGAAATCTGTAATGTTGGACATCACAATAATATGGATAGTTAGATGCACAATTAAACATTATAACGAAACATACCAATTATAAACTGTAAATAGAAAATCCGAAAACCGAAGTCGGACGATAATGCCTCAAGAATACGAGTTCCCAGATCACCAATACAGATATAAGGGGAAATCAAATTAAATCATATATCTTACCTGTTTAGGAGTTAGAACTAAAACAAGTATTTACAAAGCACATTACATACCCTCTGTATTTTCCGTCCCATCATGGTTACCAATTATCTTACTGGCTTTTGCCATTTCTATAAATAAAATTAAAACAAAAGACTGAATATCAACCACTGGGTTTTCCTCCCCGAGGGTATCACCAGCCTAGTAGACGGCACTCCTGAGTTGATATGAAATATCATTGATATGGTAATAATTATAAATTAACTGTTTACAAACCTTTGAACGTTTAGAAATACTAATGATTGTCTACTCCAGGAATAGATTACGTTAGCTGCAGTGGCAAAACTTTTCGGAATTTTGGGTCCTTAATGCTCTTCGATTTCTTTCTTTATTTGGCATATTTTTTTTTATTCGGGCGTCACTGATGAGTATTTGAAGAACTAACGCGCCATTGGAGCACACAATTTTAATACTGCTATCTATGATTAGTTAATCGTTAATGTGCACTTATTGCCTATATATTTATGAATAGTTCAATATTAACACAACTTATTTTTAAAGAGTTACGATGAAGAAATTTATGTTTTACGTTAAAATATGCCTACACCGTCGTAAGTGTTGATATTTTTGTGATACAGAAAAGGACATTTTGCAATTGAAAGGTAACTGGGACAAATTTGATACTAACTATTCATCGACGCAAGTCTTTTCCATTCAATATATCCCCGACGATTTACGAAATAACAAGGTACGGTAAGGATACTTTTTTGTCTTTTAAATACGAAAACCAAAAAGTATCATAAATGTATCCAATGGCAAGTTTAAATTGCTTCAAAAACCTTAGTCTGGCATACGTCATGCTTCATGTTATCCAATTTTGTAAAACTAGAAAACAAACCAACATAGTTTCATTTGAAATCCTGTCAAATTTTATTACATTTGAGTTACAGCCTTAAGATATCTGTTTACATGGTGTCTTTTTGCCAACATGAATCTTTATAAGCATGAGACTGACTTTTTCAAAGGGCCTCTAAAAAAAAGAAGAATGCGATTCATCACATCATTGAACGCGACGTACATGTTACATGTATCACCGAATTTTTGCTTGCAATGGAGAACATTGGGGATGCGAGCAAAAACTGTTTACTCTTTCAGAGTCCTTTAGTTTCCTCCCAATTTTGTATGGGGGTCGTGCATGTTGCTTAATATTTAGTATCCATTTAGTGTTTTGTTTTGTTGACAGGTGTATGCATTTTTGTCGTCATTCTTTTAATATGGTTTTGTTTGTTATATCTTCAACTTGATGTGTGTAAATCATCATTTCCACTAAGACTGTTCCTCGTGTTCAATTTTTCTATTGTGACCGTTTCACTTCTATGTAGCGACAGTCCAGCAGCGCCTGTATCTTGATCACATAACTACAATTTGATATTCTAGGGATTACATTTTCTATCATGATTTCCTTGGTAGAGGGAAGCTGCTAACTTGAAAGCTCGAACTAGACAAAACTATGCGGAAAAGTCCATTTAAGGTAAAAAAAAATGTCAATTTCAAATTAAGTATGACAACATAGTGATGTTACTACTGATATTTCTACACTAAAATGACAACATTATATAATCCTGTTCAGTCATTAATAAAAACTGTTTTATTTTTAAATGATTAAATATTTCAGGGAGCAGATAATGACTCTTATCATGATCCACCTTTTTTAATATTATTTAAGATTAACTAAGAATTACACACGCATAAGACATTACATCTAAAAAAGGTTTATCACAGGAATTGAAAAATATGGCTGTGTTTACACCTGGAAAAGTTCTGTGTTTCAGAAGAAATGTTTTTTTTTTACATTGAAATTCATTGTTTCAAGCCTGCAGTAGATAGCTTAATAAACAAACACCCGAATATTACTTAAACGGTCCAATAATTTAGTGTTTTTGTTTTATAGTGATTAAGATTGTATTACAATGTTGACTGCTTTACTCCAATTTTTGACGTTTTTGCCTATTATGTCTGTTTGTTTTGCTCACACATTGTACTCATAATAATGGAATTCAATGCGACTGAGTGAGAGGTTTAGCTAGCTATAAAACCAGGTTTAATCCACCATTTTCTACATAAGGAAATGCTTATACCAAGTCAGGAAAATGACAGTTGTTTTCTATTCGTTAGATGTGTTGGAGCTTTAGATTTTGCCATCTTATGAAGGACTTTCGTTTTGAATTTCCCTTGGAGTTCGGTTATTATGTTATTTTAACATAACATGCATATACATTTTATTAATCTAGGTCCTGAAATACATTTTGGAGGTGCACAGGTCTGTCAGAGTACTCAGAGGTATTTTGTGGTTTCAAGATGCCATTTTGTAACTCCCACCCCAAGTCAAAATTTGGTGGAGTATTTGAAAATATTGATAAACTCAATAAGTGCTATGAAGATATCGAGTGACACAGCAGTCCCTACATTTGAAAATTAAAGTTCAATAACTCTGAAGCACGCCGTAAACTATATATGCCTCAGTCTACTATCATTCGTGATTATAAGTTAATTTTACGGACGCCATCACGAGTTGGTTGACCGTTATGGAATAACCGTTTCACAGATGATATCGGATATGTTCCTTATGTCGTAACTACAATACCCTTCCCTTTTCACGAATGTGACTTACCGAATTAGACTTTTTACCGGATTTATAATAACATAAGCAACACGACGGGTGCCACATGTAGAGCAGGATCTGCTTACCCTTCCGGAGCACCTGAGATCACCCCCAGTTTTTGGTGGGGTTCGTGTTGCTTAGTCTTTAGTTTTCTACGTTGTGTCATCTGTACTATTATTTGTCTGTTTGTCTTTTTATTTTTGGCCCCGTTGTCAGTTTGTTTTCAATCTATGAGTTTGACTGTCCCTCTGGTATCTTTCGTCCCTCTTTTAAATATGAAGAATGTATCATTCGAATGGTTTGAGATGTTTATACATGATTGACCTTGTAATGGGATTGATTATCCCTATGTTAGCCTCCGGCCCTCTTTCACGATATATATATGAACAATGACAATCTGTTCTTGTCTACAGTAGATACATTGCACGTTGTAAGTGTACAACGCACGAACTGTAAACCTTGACTTAAAAACGATCCTCACTTTTTAAAATATATATCGTCGAGCTACAGTCTACAAATCCTGCATTTCAATTTTTGTATTTATTTTTTTTTGTTTTTTTGTTTTTGTTTTTGTTTTTGTTTTTGTTTTTGTTTTTTGTTTTTGTTTGTCTTTTTATATTGTGATCTATACAACGCAAATATTCCATATTCTCCCATTTCGGATCCATTGAATAGAATGAGGGGTAACACTCTATAAATCATATATTATATTTGCATTAGGGTGTCTAAATACAATTACAAGGATCGAAATATTTTGTTAACAAATACCAGCACAGTTAATGCTTCAGTCAGACTGAATAAGGCCATAAACCATGACAGACAGTTTGATGTGAACAAATAAACAATTTTCCAAATTTGTAAATTTGTAAATTGTGAAGACATTTGAAAGAAATGAGAATGGATGGACATTCCCAAAGTTTAAGTAAACAAAATGCAATCATACTTTTTTTTGGTTTAATTTCCTTTTCCCGATGCTTCATCCTTCAATCTTATGAAATTGAATTCAGATGTTGTCCTTCATATAGGGTCGAAATTGTTTTATAAATTTGGTTTCCCAAAATCTCAAGTTTTAATAAAACAAAAATTGTTGTTTTATTATTATTAAAAGTCACTTGTTTTGTATGTCGGTAATGTATTTTAACACAGTTTTGGCTGCTAGAACCCAATTATTGTGACATTAACCTATTATAACTTTTTGGGTTGCTAACTCAATTTGTCAATATAATGGAACTATACACAGCTGTCATACAAGTGGGAGGTTAAGCTAGCTATAAAATCAGGTTTAACCTACCATTTTCTTCGGAAAATGCCTGTAGTAAGGAATATGACAATATGATTATTACTCATTCCGTTGGTTAATAACGTTTGATTTTGTCAGTTTTTATGGACTTCTCCCTTTTTGAAATTACCTTTGAGTTCCGTTTTGTTTAATACTTTTTTATTAGTAAACTTTTATTAGTACCAACCTTGATATATACTAT